TCCCTGGTTCTGCCAAAAAAAAAAAAAAAAAAAAAAGATAGGGACATCTTTATCTCTTTTTTTTAAGTTTTTGAAACAGAATCTCAAGGCTGGCTTTAAATTCACTGTGTGGCCCAGTCTTCTTGTTCTTCTTGTTATTGTTTTTGCGGTTCTGGGGATTGAACTCAGGACCCTGCACTTGCCAGGTAAGCGCTTATTCTACTGAGCTATCTCCCCGGCCCCATGTGTGGCCCAGACTGGCCTCAACTTGCATCAGTGTACTCATCCATCCCGGTGGGTGCCAGGATTACAGGCATGTGCTAATGTACCCAAAGCCTGCATTTTTTTTTTAATGTGTTTGGTGCAGGGTGGACTCATAATGATTCTCCTGTTCCCAGCCTCCCCATTGCTGAGATTTCAGGCGTGCACCACCACCACACCCAGACTTGGTGGCCGGCTCAGCACTGGGGGGGGGGATGTGGTTTTGGGGATCAAACCCCAGTCCCTGAGCTTGCCTAAGCAGGTGCTTAGTCTGCTGCGCTATCTCATTTTTTTGAATTTTTTTTCTAACACCAATCATTGGCTTGAAAATGAAGATGTTTGCTGGCTTTTAGATATTTCATGGAACATACTTTGACTTTTACATGGAGACCATCAATTAAATCCCCCAAGGCCTGTTCAGTTTCTGGAGCCCTTTGTGTTGATTCCCTTAGTAATTTGTGGGGTAGTGAATCCCCCTTGCAGCACTCAGAAAGACTAAATAACCACATCTTGAGCTTTTGGTGGAGAAGTTCTATGCTTTCCCTAGGAGATGGATGTGGCTGCACCCATGGGATTGATGAGCCCAAGCATTTTTTTAGGGCAGGTATGGTATGACTTGAGGATCTGGGAATCGACCCACAGCATCCTGATTGCTTTGTTTAAGCAGTCACTTAAACAACTGAGCTAATGGGCAGCTCCCCCCTCACTTCGCCCCCAGCACCACAAGCTTTTTGCCACTCCTGAAAAGCCTTTGTTGGCTTCCCTTTTGCCTATGCTTTTTCCCCAACACCTGGCTAAATGAGGCACTTTGGAAAGAGCTGAGTGTTTAACAGGAATGTTTAGGCGTCAGTTCACAGGAAGCTTATGAGACCATGTAGGACACGCTCGTCACTTGGCAGCAGAGGCCTGGGATATATGAGCCTTATGTTGTGTCACCCATGTCACTCAGGGCTCACTTGCTTTTTTTTTTCCTTGTATGAACTCTTGGATTTTTTGGATTTTGACAGTTTGTAGTACAAAACATAGAACTCTCAAAAGTTGATAGAGCATGTTACCTGGAAGGTAGTGTCTCACCAAATAATAAATGATAGCATTCCCATGAACCAGTTTCTCTTTGAGACACTTGTGGTATGATTCCCCCAAAGTAAGATGATTTTCATCAACAGTCTGGTTTTTCAGGGCCGGGGAGATGGCTCAGTAGAATAAGTGCTTCCCTGGCAAGCGCAAGGGCCTGAGTTCAATCCCCAGTCCTGCTAAAAAAAAAAAAAGAAGAAGAAACAGTCTGGTCTTTCTTTCTTTCTTTCTTTCTTTCTTTCTTTTTTTTTTTTTGTGGTACTGGGGATTGAACTCAGGCCCTTGTGCTTGCCAGGAAAATACTGGGGTTTTTTTTGGTTTTGGTTTTGGTTTTTTTTTTGGCGGAACCGGGGATTGAACTCAGATCCTTGAGTTTGCCAGTCAAGCGCTTATCCTACTGAGCCATCTCCCTGGCCCCAGGAAAATACTGGTTTTGATGTATTTTCATACATGCATTTTTTTTTCATGCATATATTTTTATCATATCCAGGCCCCAATTAGCCCTGCCTTAGACTGGGCTTGGTGGTGCATGCCTGTAAATCCTAGTGCTTGGGAGGCTGTAAACAGGAGGATCACTATGGGTCCGAGCTGTGTAGTGAGACCTTCTAGGCCCTGTACTAAATACATTTAAAAAAAAAAATTGGGGCCAGGAAGATGGCTCAGTAGAATAAACGCTTGCCTGGCAAGCATAAAACTCAGGCCCCGGGCCTGAGTTCAATCCCCAGTTCCGCAAAACAAAACAAACCAAAAAAAAAAAAAAATTAGTCCTCCTTTACACCACTTCCTCCCTGCCTGTCTTTCCTTCCTGTAGTCTAACAATAGTCTCCCTTCCATTCTCATGATATGATTTTTGATCCACATATTTAAGGAAAACTTGGCATATTTGTCTGAGTGGCTTATTTTGCCTAACATGATGATCTCCTATTCCTTCCATGTTCCTGAAAATGACATAGTTTCATGATGTATGGCTGAATAATATTCCATTGTGTATGTATACTGCATTTTCTTTACCCATTCGTTAATGGGCACCTGACTAATATCATAGCTCAGCTGCTGTGAATTGCACCACAATAAACATGGGTTTGCTGGTCTCCTGTGATGTGCTAGCTTTTAACTCCTTCACGTACAGACCAAGGAGTGGTACAGCCAGATCGTGTGGTGCCTCTGTCTTTAGTTCTGTGAGGAGCTTCTGTACTGATGCACATTCCCACCAGCAGTGCAGAAGGAATCTTTTTCCCCATCTTGTCGACATTTATTGTTTTGTGTTCTTAATGATAGCCCTCCTAACTGGGACTGGGTGAAATGGAATCAAGAGTATTGTTTCCATTTGTATGTCCTTAATGACTAAATGAAAACTGGTGGTTTTTTATAAACTTATGGGCCATTTATATTTTTTGTTTTAGGGAAGAGTCTGTAGGGTGTTGAGGGTCTCACTGCTAGATCGGATTCGTAGTGATTCACCTGTTTACAGCCTCCCAAGAGCTGGGATTACAGGCGTGCATCACCACGCCTTATAGGCCCTTTGTACTTCTTTTCAAAAGGGTCTGTTCAAATCATTTGCCCTGGGGCTGGTGAGATGGCTCAGTGGTCTAAAGCACCTACTTAGAACAAGCTTCGCAAAGCACAGGGACCACGGTTCAATCCCCCAGCACCACATGCCAGCCAGCCATGCCCCCTGGTGGGCTGAGCTGGGGACACACACACACACACACACACACACACACACACACACATAAAATAAATTCAAATCATTTGCCCATTTATTGATTGCAGAGTGTGTGTGTGTGTGTGTGTGTGTGTGTGTGTGTGTGTGTGTGTGATGAGTTCTTTATGTATTCTATTAATCTTCTGTAGGAACAGCAACTAGCAGAGATGTCCTCTACTCCGTAGGCTGTCTCTTCACTGTGTTGGCTATTTCCCTTGCTGTGTAGAAGCTTTTTAATGGGATGTGGACCCTCTTGTTGATTCTTGCTGTTATCTCTGTGCAATTGTAATTCTTTTCAGGAAATCTTTGCTGGTATCTGTGGCCCCAGGTGTTTCCTGAGTTTTGTTTTAGCAGCTTCAAAGTTTCAAGGCTAGGGGCTAGTGAGATGGCTCAGTGGTCTAAAGCACCTACAAGCTTAGCAAAGCACAGGGACCGCGGTTCAATCCCCCAGCACCACATGCCAGCCAGCCCCGCTCCCTGGTGGGCTGAGCTGGCCACACACACACACACACACACACACACATATTAAAAAAAAAAAAACAAAGTTTCAAGGCTAATACTGTACCTAGATCTTTGATTCATTCTGAATTGATTTTTATGCAAGGTGAGCAATAGAGATTTAATTTAAATCTTCTACATATAGATATCTAGTTTTCCCTGCACTATTTTTATAGGCTATCCTCCCTTTTTTTCCACATCCAAGGGTTTATTTACTTGACCCAAAAAGCATCTTTTTTTTCTTTTTTTTTTGTGGAACCGGGGATTGAACTCAGGTCCTCACGTTTGCCAGGGAAGCGCTTATTCCACTGAGCCATCCCCCTGGCCCCATCATAATTTTTTTAAAGGCTTTCTTTTTTGCAGTTTTTTTTTTTTTTCTTTGCCTGTTTTTTTAATGCCGAACCGGGGATTGAATTCAAGCCCTTGTGCTTGCCAGACAAGCGCTTATTCTACCGAGCTATCTGCCCGGCCCCTTTCTTTGCCTTCTTTGTCAGTAATGAGATGGTTTGTTTCTGCGTCTGCTTTCCATTGTTCATCTTTTGTGCTATTGCCATGCTGATTTTGTTAACAGTTTTGTAATATAATTTGAAATCAGTGTTGGTTTTTTTGTCTTTTCTAGTTCTGTGAAGAATGTCATTGGGAATTTGTTTTTGTTTCTGAGATGGGGATAGAGACTTTTTGAGACTCACTGTGTAGTACAGGCTGACCTCAAACTTATGGTGAACCTCCTGCCTCAGCCTCCGAGTTGCTGGGATTACATGTCATTGGGATTTTGATGTGGATTGTGTTTGACTCTGACTGTTGGTGGTGGTGTCATTTTAACCTTATTTCTTCTACTTCATGAACATAGGAGATCTTTGCATCTTCTGATATCTTTTTCAGTTTCTTCAAGTTTCTATAAATTTCATGGCAGCAATCTTCACCTCTTGGCTGAATGGATTCTAGGTCCTTTTTCAGTCTATTATGAATGGAACTGTACTCCTGATTTTTTTGTTACCCACTTCTGTACCACAGCCTGAGTTTCCCCCAGGGGCCATGCACATAGACCTGTACTCAGGGCACCTCTCTGGTTCCTGTCTCAGGCAGGGACCCTGCTGCAGGGAAGTGGCTCTAACCCTACCACCCTGTGGCACTGGGGCCAGCTCAGGGCTATGCGGGGACAAGGCACAGGCCACCTCTGAGAGGCTATGGGTCTTCTCTGCTGGGGCTGCTGGGCCCTGAGTGTGCTGAAGATCTGAAACTTCACAAACCCTGCCTAGCCAGACCACTCAGAACCTGCCATCATGTGCCCTCTGCCTGCCAGGCAGCGAGCCAAGGGAGTCCGCTGTGGTCTACCCGGTGACTCTGCCACACAGACCCGACCCAGCCTGTCCAGAGGCTTCTCCTGCAGAGAGGGCAGCTGCACAGGGAAGCTGTACACATGCGGGGAGTAGGCAGGAGGGGTGTTCAGCCTGTGACCTCAAGCCCCGATCTTTCATTCTAGGAAGATGACGAGAAGCTAATTGAGGAAATCCAGAAGGAGGCCGAGGAGGAGCAGAAGAGGAAGAATGGAGGCAAGTGCTGTCCCTAGCTGCAGCCTGTGCAGGCTGGAGCAGAGGACCTGGGGCTGGGTGTGGCGCACTTCCTCAGGGCATCACCACTCAGGCCAGGAGGCCATCAAGGCCTGGGTACAGTTTGGGTACCACATGATGGTGCAGGACTTGTGAGGATGGGTTTAGCCCAGGAAGCACATGGAAGCCAAACCTGACCAGAGATGGTGGCACACTCGGCCCTTTTCCAAGGTGGAAAAGGATGACCTACCTGGAGCCTATGAGAGTGGCTGCTCGTGGCTCTGGCTGAGAGACTCACATGGATATCACCATACAAACTAGACAGATGCGCCACCCTCCAGGGGCCATTGTGGAGCATGACACTCCATGCTTTGCTCTTTTTTTTTTTTTTTTTTTTCCTTTTTTAAGACAGCATTTTATTATTCAGTTCAGACTGACCTTGAACTCACATTGTAGACCAGGCTGGCCTCAAACTCACAGGGACCCTCCTGACTCAGCCTCCCCAGTGCTGAGATTACAGACCTGCTCCACCACACCCACCTGTGCCTTGCTTCTTGTAGTGACAGTTGGGTAGGATGCTTCTCGTTGACACATTAATCACTACTGCAGTGTCCTTCCTGGACCCTGAGTGTAAGAGGCTGAGCCTGGCCAGCAGGTGTGGGCCTGCTTCCTGCCCCTCACCCCAGTGCCCAACTAAATCTCTTTTGTGGAACCGGAGCCAACTAAATCTTGCCCTCCTTTCAGAAAACACATTCAAGCGCATCGGGCCCCCACTGGAGAAGGCCCCTGAGAAGGTGCAGAGGATGGAAGGTCTGCCTCGGCCTGTCCCACAGAACCTGCCCCCGCCACAGATGCCGCCCTACGCCTTCGTGCACCCGCCCTTCCCCCTGCCACCTGTTCGGCCTGTGTTCAACAACTTTCAGCTCAACATGGGCCCTGTGCCTGCGCCATACGTGCCCCCCCTCCCCAACATGCGCATCAACTACAACTTCGGGGCCATGCATATGCCACTGGAGCACAACCTGCCCATGCACTTTGGCCCCCAGCCACGGCACCGCTTCTGACAGCCAGAGCCCTGGGGGTAAAAGGGCAGAGGACTCCACCTGTGCCAGCTTTGCCCTGACCTCGGCAGCACAGATGGCAGCTTAGTTGGGGTGGGGTGGTTCTGCTGTGTCCCAGAAGGGGCCACTGCTCCTTTGAGGTGGGGGGGGCGGAGAGAAGGCTCAGTAGAATAAGCGCTTGCAAGGGCCTGGCACGCGCAAGGGCCTGAGATCAATCCCCGGTTCCGCCAAAAAAAAAAAAGATCCTCTGAGGTTGGTGCCTGTAAGGGGCCAGTCTAGCTCTCGCTGGGCTGACACAAGGGCAGCAACACCCCTTCCTACCTCTGTCCCTTTAGCAACCAACACAGAGGCCCTGTGTCTGCTGTCTCCAGCCCGTGCAGAAAGAGGCAGAGGACATCATTTGGCCTATCCCTTCCCATAGACAGCAGACCACCAGTCCTGTCCACAGCACAATCAGGTCCCTAGTAGAGACAGCACAGCAAATGGAGTTTGGAATGAGCTGGGAGATCTGCACGGTACCCATGGAGTTGAGTGAGCATCCCTGGTCTCCTGCGCATGCGTAGCTTCGGTTCAGGGGCCCAGCATCCCGATGTTTCTCACACTTGTCTTCTCCCAGAGCTGAGCCCTGGAGCTCAAGGCAGCTATGAGCATCTCCCTTGGGGCACAGAGTCAGCCTCTAGGGCTTCCCCACCTCCTCTTCCCCAGGTAAGAGATAGCAGAGCCACATGCACAGGCCTGGGGTGCAGGGTGGGGCTGCAGTCCTGTTCAGGTCAGACAGCACAGAGAACCATCCTGTTGTTCAGGTTTTGTTTTATTGAGTTTTTCAGTTTTTGGAGGGAGAAGTTTTTTGGGGTTTTTTGAGACAGGATCTCACAGTGTAGCAGGTTGGCCTTGAACTGTGTAGCCCAGGCTGGCCTCAGACTCATGGCACTTGGCCTGCCTCAGCCTCTTGAGTGCTGGGCTCACTGGCATGTGCTGCCACGTCTGGCTTGTTTCCTCCTGTTCACACACTTTGAGCCTTAGTGTATGAGGGCTAATTTCCTCTTCTCTGGAGAGTCACACTGAAGGCGTCACCCCACACCAGGCAGTAGCTGAATGCTGGATAGCCTGGTGCTTAAACCAAATGAAAGTTTTGCTCTCGGCAGCCATCACAGAGCCTCCCACGTAGCTGGGTACTGAGCTGCTCCTCCACGTGTCTGGTGCCTGTTCCCACCCTTTCTCCTGTGTGTTCCCCCATAGTTAGTGGGGAGACGGGAAAGACTAGCACAGGGTGAGTACAACTGCACCTCCTGTGGTCGGAGAAGGCAGCCTGGGCCAGCTCCAGTCCCTGCCATCCAGCCTGGTCCTCACCCCAGGAGGCTTCACTCCAGCTGCTCACTGGGCAGGCAGCACGCCTGGCGTTTTCTTTTCCCATATTAAGCATCCTAGTCCTTGTCCTGCGGCCATGAGGTTCTGGGAGATGGGCCTGGGGTGGTGGGCACCTACCATTGCTTCTCTGTCAGACTATAGGAAAAAGCCCCTAGACACGTTCTTCCTGCTTGGCTCAGGGTGAACACTTTGAGGCAGGTGGGCATCCTCCCCAGGGCTGCATTCCCGGCCAGAATGACAGTGCCTTGGAAAGGTGGGCGGCACCCCGAGTGACAGGACCCTCCAAGTACCTTTAATCCAAACCACATGCTCCACTTTTTCCCTGAAGTATCGGGCAGTAGTCAGCCCCACATATGGGGAGGTGACCTCAAGCACTGTCCCGCCAAGGCCTCAAGCTACCCTGCTGGGCTAGGAGTCCAGTCTCAGCTCTGCCATGTTCCCCCTACATGGCTCCATCCAGGGCTGAGGCCGGACCCAGGGGCAGGAAATAACAGTCCTGCCTCCTGGCTGAGGCCAAGCCCAGGGCGATGACCCTGACCACTTCGGAAAGAACGCTCCACTCTCCCACACACACACACTTGTGTGTAGCACTTGGCCCCAGGCTGCAGGCCAGCAGCATCCACTGTCCCTTCAGGTACCTTAGTGACCCCACCCAGGCTAGGGAGGGGCCTGCACGGGGGACACCCAGGAGCACCCAGCACAGCTGACACCTTAAGCTCTGGTCCGAGGCCAGAGACTGCCCAGCCACTGTCCCAATGTATTTGCCTTAAAAACTGGAGAGGAATCTAGCATTTGCACTTAGCAAAAGAAGGAAAGTATGTGCATGATCTGTCACTTTGTATAAATATAGCAAAAGAGGGGGGTTAAGTAGTTTATTAAATGTTTTTCCTTCTGGTAGTAAAAATAAAGTAACTTTAAACTACTGTGTGTAAAAAGCCTGTATCATATGTAACTTGGACTTTTGTAAATAAATATTTGTGCATTCTGTTCGTTCTGGATTCCTTTCTCCACACGCAGGTCTGCTGGAGTGGCTGGGTCCCTGAGAGAAAAAGCAGGGACCTTCCAGGCGGCGTGGCGGGAGTGAGGCTGCTTCCTCTCCTGCCAGACAGTGGGGCCTCCGAGGTGCCCTGCTCCAGGGCCAAGTGGAGCACAAAAAGGTTCTTTTTTTTTGGCCTGGGGCTGAGAACTAAAGGGCAAAGGGCAGCCCTTTCCAAGTCCCCAGGGGCCACCTGCCCTGCCACCCCCCTCGGCCACAGCAAGGCCACACTGGCCCCCAGCAGGCATCCTTGAGACATGGTGTTCTTTGCACTTGCTACCTTTTACTGAGCAGTTTTGGAGCCATTTTGTTGTTTGTTTGGGTTTGTGGTGTTCTGGTTTTTTGTTATTTGGGGAGTTTTTGTTTTGTTTTTTATGACAATTTCAAACCCAGCTATCTGCCTAGCCTGCCTTAGCCTCGAGTAGTGGGATTGCAGGTGTGCAACACCAGGCCCATGTATTTTGGTGCATCTAAGAAGTACACAGAACGAGAAGTTTCAAGACAATTACCCACATTCCCAGCTTCAACACAGATCAAGGTGCACACTAAGTTTTTTGAGACAGACCTAACGTAGCTCAGTCTGTCCTTGAACTCACTCACTGTGGCCCAGGAACAGCCATCCTCCTGCCTCAGCCTCCCAAGTGCTGAGATCACAGGCATGTGTCCCTCACTACTCATGTTGAATGTCTGCTGTCCTAGCCCCCACTCAGGGCCATGGGCCTCACCTCCCCCTGCATCCACCCTGGATGCCACGCTCCCTCCTGGGTGCTCCTCCATGTGGCCCTGACCAAGCTGCTCATCTCCCAGTAGGGGAGCCCTCAGGTGCCCTGCACAGGACTGGTGGTGCTTGGCTCTCCCAGAGGTAGGGCTAGGGCTGGTGCGTGCTGTGCACCCAGTGTTGGTGGCACTGCCTGCCATGCCTGCTTTGCTCCTGTAACAGCTCTCTGGACAGTGACTTTTCTGTGAGGCGCCTGTGGCTTTCCACTGTGCTGCTGTTCCCACCCAGCCACTCTCACCTATCTTCCCCACCCTCCCACCCACAGCCCCAGCTGAGGCTGCCTATGCACCAACAGGCTCATGCTCTGGCCTCACAGCCCCCCAGGGAGGTGGCCGCTGCCACTGCTCCTGGGTCCCCTCCGCCCTGCCCTGCGTCAGGATTTAGTCACATGAGTCCTCCCCTCCTGGCTTCCTTGGTCCAGGACTGCCAGTCAAGTCCATCTCCCCCACCTGCCTGGCCCATCTGTAAGTGCCAGTGACCCACCCTGTCCCGCGAGCCCCACACTTGGAGTCCCCACTCAGCCCCGGTGCAGCTCTGTGGCCTTGAGCAAGGCCCTCAGGCCTGTCGCCCATCAGTGAAATGTGGCAGACAGCACCCTCTTCTCAGACTATGAGCCATGGAGCCTGCAGATGGTCAGCACTGGAGGACAGAGCAACTTGCTACAGTGCTGTTGGTGGCCTCAACCCTCCCTGGCTGCCCAGGAATTTTATTTATTTATTTATTTATTTATTTATTTATTTATTTATTTATTTTGGTGGTCCTAGAAATTGAACCCAGGGTCTTCACATCAAGCTACAACCCTAGCCTTTTTTATTTTCCAAAACAGAGACTTTCTCACTAAATTGCCCAGGACGAGCTGGAACTTTGGACCCTCCTGCCTCAGCCTCCCAGACAGCTAGGGCTGCAGGTGTACACTGCTATGCCAGGTCTTCCCTAGGGCCCTCACTCAAATGGGCCCACAGCCAGTCTGTAACCAGCCCCTGACCCTGCAGCACTGGGCCCCCTCACCTGCGCCTGCTTGCCTGGGAGGGGAGGATTGCTACAAGTTCAAGAGCAGCCTGGGCTACAAAGTAGAGCTCAAGGCCAGCCTGAACTGCTTAGTGAAATGAAACCCTGTCTAAAAAAAAAAAAAAAAAAGATCGTGGGTAAAGAGTCTGAAGTGCAGGAAGCCACACAAACATTAGCTTAGCTGTTTATAAAATCAGAATGTGTGGCCAGATGGCCTGCTGGTTAGCTCAGTGGTTTAAGCCCCTGCTCATGCAAACGCAGTCAGGTGCAGGATACCCAGGTCCAATTCCCAGCTCCATCTGCCTTACCAGACCCGCCCTTAAGGCAGTCTGAGTCAGCCAAAAACAAGTCCTTCAGAATGTGTGGTCAAAGGTTATTTCCACCTGTGCGGAGGACCACTTGGGTGACTGTCCTTGAAAGAGGAATCATGGTCTCCATTTTGGCTGAGCCTGATCCTATCACCATGTATTGCTATGTGCAGAGCTGGCTAGGACTTTGCCTTGTCCCTTCAGTTGGCTTTAAGCAATGCCTGTGGGTCCAATGCAGGTCCAGCCGAGGTGCTGGTGGGAGTGTGAACGGCAGGCGGTGTTTCCCCAGAACCCCTTCTAGCTTCCTCGTGTGAGCCAGATGAGGCAGGATGAAGAGCCAGTGCTCCATGCTGTTGACTGGGATGAGCCTCCTCAAGATAGAGGTTAGGACTTACTGGAGCTTGAAAGATTACACATCAAAGCTGAAGTCCAGGACCAGGGAGATAGCTCAGTAGAATAAGCACCTGCCTGGCAAGCGCAGGGGTCCTGAGTTCAACCCCGGGTCCTGAGTTCAATCCCTGGTACCAGACCCCAAAACATTAGGTACTAATGTTACTAATTAGATTACTTGCTGTGATGGGTTTTTCAGACACAGTAAAAAGATGGGAAAGATAAAAGAAGCCTTTAGGGGCTGGGGAGATATCTCAGTTGAATAAGCGCCTCTGCAAGTGCAAGGGATTGGGGTCTTCCCTGAGGTGGCAGGAAAGGTGAAAGGAAATTGCACTGTAGGCTGGGTTGGAGAAGAAGGGGGGAGGTGGTCTCCGAGAACATAAACTGTTGTTTCAAGGGTTTCAGCCATATTGGATGACCACCATAATAATTCAGCAATTTATACTAGGGCTAGAGCCTATCA